TAAAAAAAATGAGTAAAACTGTAACTCCTTTTGTCGTGGAATGCTTGATATTCAGCAGGTTAAAATATCGTTTTTTTTCGCAGCTGTTATTTTAAATATGGGGGGGGGAGGACATATCAAAACTAATGTAAAAGTATTTATAATTTTAAACTGTTTGTAAATATTGCAAGATAACTACTTAGTATGATTTTGTATTTTATTTAAATTTTTTGTCTTTACAACTGGAAGAAAATGGGCTTCCATATGTACTTTACACTTGAAAAATGATGTGTGAGTGTGCTTTTTTTAAATTTAATTTAATTATTGTAAAGCTAAGTATTTGCTACACTTTAGTGTATCTAAAACTTTATTTCATATTTTTACTTGTATGATTTTTTTTGAGTAATTTTATTTGTATGTACAGATACTAATTTTTATTACAATTGAAGAGTAGATTTTCTTTGTTCATTTTTGTTTTGTCAAAAACAAATAAAATTTATTGCTGTTGAATTTGTTTTTATTGAGTCTCTTTATACGCAAAGATGGTTACATAAGTCACATGTTTTCTCTTTGATACCTGTGTACTCAATGCTGTTCTACTGTGTTTTGACATCAAACACAGATACCAAAAATATAACCGGAAACACAAATAATTTTTTGATATCAGGCATGAAATTTTTCTGACTTTTTTTTATTAGAATACTTCTACACAAATATTAAAAATTACAATAAAATTTTTCAGAGAGAAAATAATAAATGAAAAATTTCCTTTTTCCTAATATATCTATAATATTTAGTTGTTTTACTTTAATACCATTTTATTCTCTTTAATCAAGGGTTATAGTTTGTCTGAAGTGAGAACTCCCCTAGCCATTCATCTGGACCTGTGGTGGTGACTATGGTATCGAGGTATAACTATTTCAAGTAGGGGTGTAGGGTCTGCAAAAAAAAAGGGAATCTTTTTCTTTGTTCTGTTGTGTTAGTCCTGAAGGGAAGAGAAAGTACCCTCCCTTAAATGCGCTATTCTTGTTTCCATAGCAGCAGACGACCTCAGACTTTATGGCGGGGGAGTTCTTACCGTAGACAAACTATATATATATAAAGCTTATTACTTTGTTGGACTATAATGTACAATGAAATATATATATGGTTGTTAATTAATTAGTGCTTAATTAAGTTACAAACATAAGTTATAAAGAAAAATGTATTATCTCTAAATAAACATCCTAGATTGATGTTTCTTTTAATGTAAACCTAAAAAGGTTTGTTATACAGTTTACGATTCAACCCTCTAACCTACGATATCTGCGACAATCTGCTCTATTCTACGCATATCGCCTTAAAAACAACCTTTCATATAAAAACCTTAAAGCATGGTTGACTTAGCGTTTTCAAGCATGTAAAAATCCTTTCATAAAGCTAGTTTCAAGGTGAAAATCTAGGCAATTGTAAGGTTTCTTTTCGCAACCTCTTGTATGCTCAGCTAAAATCCACCTTCTCATGATATTTTAATGGACAAAGCGATTTGATCCTATTGCTAGTGTGACGCCAGCTAAAACTTCATTATGGACCTAAGTGACCATTTTACCAAACAGGCGATACTTTTTAAAAAAGCTTTAAAAAATATTTTTTTTTTTCTTTTTAGGATGATAGGTTTGAAACTGCAATATTTTTGCTTATTTGATAAGTTTTTTGTACAAATAATTTCGTGACAATAAAAAGAAAATTCCGACACAAGGTTACGGTAAGGTTACATGCTTTCTCAGCATATATGAGCCGCTCAGAAGCCAATGCGGTTAAGTCCATTTTTTTATATTTTCTGATTTTTGGAAATTTTGATGAAATAAATAATAATCTTCTTAGTTATTAAAGGATTTACTCGTTGGCTACTTTTTTCTAGGTCATACAGCCCTTTTTTTAATAGGTTCTGAATATATTGTATAATAATTTCAGAAGTCATTGTGAGTAAGTCCACCTTTTATCAATATTTTTTTACATAATTTTTGAAATAAAAATTAAATTCTTCTTCTTCTTTTGATATGTGTTGGTAACACTGAAAAACAAGAAATTCATAGTAACCAGGGTTGCCAGACGTAGTATTTTTAATACTACGGTAGTATTTTTTCACCAAAAAAAGGGGTATGGTATTTTTCGTAGTATTTTTTTTAAATTAATTTTTTTTTCTTTTCCTAAAACAAAGAAAAGTGCCACTTTAGTTTTGAAGTAAAAAACATTTTTTGAAATATTCCATCAGTTTATTTTCTATTAGTCACTGTATCTAGTGATGATTGAGAAAAATCGAAGTTCGTTTATACTAGAAGACATAAATTTCCTATCTTTTTCAACTGCCAAAAGGTATAAGTCCTAAAATTTGTAAGATGCTGTCATTATTTCAATAAATACTTACGTTTTTATTNTCCATGAATAACAACTTAACGAAGACTTATTTTCTCCAACAAAAACACAACAATAAATTTAAAAAAGCATTATAATAACATTAAGTGTAATGATAGGTATAACCAAAACTGTTATACTCTGCCTCTTCATATTTATACATTTTAAATTTGAAAAACAGAGGAAAGAAAGAGTTGAAGCAATTAAATAGCTGAAAAAAATACAAAAGCAAATAATATTTTTTTTCCTGCATATTCCAAAGACATTTTTCTTGTTCATCGGAAAGGAAATAAATACTCCTGATTTTTCAGTTCTCATTTCGGAATTAAAAAAAATTTCACCAATGAACGGCTTACTTCAGCTAGAATTTTAAATTGATAAAATAAAAATTTTAAAATTATAGAAATTTAAAAGATAATTCGCTCCAGAAATGATTGTTTTTTCTTTCATTTTTTGAAAGAACATCATAACATCATAATTTTTAAAGAACATGATAAAAACATTTTAGATTTTAATAAAGTATGACTGTTAGTAGGGATTTTGTTAGAAATTCAGATATTTGGTACACCATGAAATTGAGGGGGAGAAGGATTCCATTTTTAAAATGAGATTTTTTGGTGATCTAAATCTATGACTTTCCATGATTTTTTTTTAAAAAAAAATAGTTAAAATCATGACATTTCATAACAAATTTTGTTCAATACCAAAATTCATGATTTTTCATGACTTTTCCAGGTGAGCAGATACCCGGTATATATATGATTTATAATTACTTAAACTTTTTTATATTTCACAACCATCGTTGAGCAGTCCACCTAATTTTTGGGTTTATGACTACTAATGTTCAACTTCATAACCTTGTAATTTTGAACCTAATTCTAAAGACAGGGGAAACCCCTCGATCAAATATTGGAATAAATTTGCCTTTGTGGAAGATTTTTTAATGGAACTAACCCACATTTGTGTTACATGGAGATAAAAACTATGAAAACGTCCCATAGTTAGCCTGATGGCAAGGGGACTCTAACCCATGTTCCACCTACCACTGAGGATATTTCATGTCAGCACTGTGGTGCGGAATTTATATCGCAAAGCTATCGCGGGGATTTGAACACGGGGCATCTCATTCGAAGGCGAACGCTCTATCCCCTGAGTCATCATGACTCCTACTTAAACTATTAACACTCAACATACTGCAGTACTAGCAATAGCACTATTTGTTGAGGAATAAGAGAAGTATTTTTGACATCAGATATTTTATCACCAAAATGTTATTTTTCTAAAAAATGCCAAATATTTTAACTTTCTTGTTAGAAGCAAATCATGCTTTCTTATTTAGTACTCAGGGGAAAAAAAGTAAGTATTTTTAAAAAAAAAAAAAAAAAAAAAACTTGGTTTTCATCAAGAACTTAATAAATCCCAGGTTTTTGGTGAAAAAACCTAGGTGGCTGAGATTTTTCAAACCCTGTTTCTTACAAATCAGTTTAATTTCTAGTACAATCATGAATCATAAAAAAAAATTATGCTTTCTATAAATTTAAAGTTACTTATTACACATTGAAATATTATACACATTTATTAAATTCTTCAAGATTTTAGGAAATAGCTTTCGTTTTGGATTCTAGCTGAAATTTTTTTTCTGATACTTCTTTTCTTAGCGTTTTACTTAATTCCTATAAGCAGATGCGTTACCAGTAGAAGTAAATTTCTTGAATTCTGTAAATTTTGAAGGCTAGTGAGGATCTTGTACTTAGGTACCATAAAACTGCCCCCTCCCCCCACAAAAAAAGCACTATCTATTCCATGTGCAGCATCCCTTTTGTCCACACTATTCTTTTCTTTAAGAATGCTTCACTCTCCTCATAGAGTATCATTCTACGGAAAGGACAGAATATATTAATGAAAGAACCAATAAATTAATGAAAGGACATGCTTTCTTCCCCCTGTCTGCTGCCTACTAACACACATTAATGTCAGGGTAACCACAGAAAAAAAATGGAACAAAATAGTTGCTTTTAGTAGCCTAGAGCATAAAAATAGTTGCCTAAATAAGAACTAATATTTATCAAAAACATGACTAAAATTTTATGGAATGACCTAATTTTACCATACTCAGTATTCCATGCCTCTTCATTTTTTTCTTCTGAAGTTTTGTTTTTAATAATTTCCTTTAGAAATTAAATTATATGCAACAGTTATTTTCACAATATTTAGAGTAACTGAACATTTTCTCAAACTTTCTGTTCCCTATTTTAATCAGGCCTAGTTCTCAATTCTTTTTAACTCATTAATCTTTCCATTGCTTTCACTAATCAGCAAATCAAGATCATTTCCCCTTTTTTCTAGTTTCCTCCCTTTTCTTTTGTCACTAGTTTTAAACTTTTTTTAAGCTTATCTTCTTTTAATAGGTTAATGACTTTTTTCACAAGTAAATTTATACCTGGTTGAAGCACTTAGTTAGTTTGAACCTGTACAATCTTGATTCATCCATAATATTAGAGCTTTTATTCAAGTTAAAGTGATTTAAGCATTATTTTATATAAAACTTCCATTCTTTAGGAACAGCAGCAAAATTGGAAGGATTGTGAAATTTTAGGGAGAATGATTAAAGTGATTGAAGTAAATTCATTATGATTATGATTAAAGTGAAAATTAAATGAGATATAAATCATTAGATCAATATTACAAACTTAAGTCATAAACAGAAATAAAATACTCACATGAAAATATAATCTGGATTCTTGACCACCATTTGGATAGATCCTTTTCTTTCTTCCTGAAAAAAAAAATTGCTTACTATTATAAATGATATTTCTAAAATAAGATCATTAGTTAATGATACCTAAATATAATTAAGAGTAGAGTTACATCTAAAGCAAGCTCACCACCCATTTTTTTAAGCTACTTAAGAGGACGCCTTATGGCGAAAGAAAAGCTTTCGTCTCGCATTCTCTTTCTCCTTGATTATTAATTTAAAGTGCAGAAAAAGTGAGTTCAAACAAGCCTAGAGTAAGCTATGAAATTTCAAATACTGAAAAGAAAATGTAAAAATATTCAAACTGAAATAAATCATGCTATGATAAATTAGGATTACGCAATGGAGAAGTTCACTTCTAATAATTTGCTTGCATTTTTTAATATTTTGAAGGATTTTAATTTTTTTTCAGCAATTGAAATTTCATGACTTGCTCTAGGTTTGCCTGAACTTACTTTTTCTCCACTTTAAAACTTAAATTAGTAATGAAGAAGAAAGAGAATTTGCAATGAAACTTTTTTCCATGGTATGGTGTATGGTATAAAAAAAGGAAGGAACAAAGAAAAAGAAACTTACATGGCCTGTACACAAAGATTGTTTAGTTTACTTCTGAAAGCTATACTAAAATGAAAGATACAGTGCACAAAATATCTTTTGATCTTAATTGTTCGGAGGCCTAACCTTAAATATATTATTTAATTTGTACAGACCATGCTTTAGTGCATTCAACAATTATGGATACATATTAGGATATTTCGGGTTAGTTACAAAATCATACACTTATAGCCCTTTGCACTCACAAGTACTTTTAAATGCTGTTTGATCTAATATCAGCACTATAGTATTTGAAATACACAATATAGTATTATTATACAATTTTAAAATTCTTATAATATTGTGGTCACTAATTATTAAGGTATAAAATTTCTTAATTTTAAAGTGGTGACTGTGTCTGGTGCCTCAGTGAAGACATTGGAGTGCAAAGGGTTGTCACTCAAATCTGGAGAGAAAAAAATTTCCTCAGTTTTCCCTGTTCATATTATACACAATATATTAAGAAGAAACAACAATTACTGTGCTCTTGTGTCAGCTATATTAGTCTAGCTATACTAGTTTTAATTGCTGGAAAAAATTAAAGAAATAATGAAGAGCTTAACATACTAAAAACAAATAATGCTAAAGTAAATAAAATAGTTTAGTATAGCTGAAATATCATCTTTAAATATCCCATAGATAGTGCTTTAAGTTGTCACCACTTTTAAAAGAAGAAAATAAGAAATAGAATTCCCAGTTTGTAAGGAAAGACTCAAAATTCCCTGCTTCATTCCTGTTATTTTTAAATTCCCTGTATTTTCTGTTCTTCCTCTCGAGTGGTTGTTGCTTTTGAAGTTCAATCTAAAGTTATTTCCTTGTAAGAAATCTAGTCCAAGAATGAATTTATCATTGATATTAGTCTCCAAACCACGTTATGCCACATGATGGTAATTGGCCTCTCCAAATATAATCTTAAGGAGGACCTTTCTGTTAACATTGATTTTATCTCTAGAGACAGTCTGTAGCAGCACATGGGCAAGGCTACAGCAAAATTAAATTTTTGGGAGGAAGCTATAATATTTTGCCAAATAAGATCATAAATAGGTATGTAATTAATTTGCTTAAATTGGATTATAAAATATATTAATACTTATTTATATTATATAATAATTATTGAATTATAAAACATATTATTGTACAATAATTTGAAATTTCATATTTAAAACATCATATATCTTAAAAGTGAGAGAAACCAATACTTCATTTTAATGAACCAAAATATTTACCAAAAAGCTTGTTCATGGATAAGAAATTCCAAAAACTCTTGCTTCCATTTTCTCATAGTTTGTTCCCCTATCAAAGAAAAATATAAAGAATTCTTTTTATTATTATTATTTTAGATTTTTCATTTGCAACAATTATGATTGATAAATGTTAAAAAAAAACATTTTTAAGATAATTACAATGTATTAACACATGTAATGAAAAACATTTTTTTAACACAATTACAATCTATTAACAAACTTTAATTCAACACTTAAAAGTTTAATACTTCTGAAATTCTTTTTTTCTTTTAATTTAATTAACTGCTGTTTAGTAACCTTAGTATATGTTTGTAGAATGCTCAAATCAATACCTAAATCACAAATAAATAGCATTAGTAAATTGTTCATGATTAACTAGCATATACTATAACTTATATAATTACCTACATATTTTCTTTGAAAACTATAATTAAATAATATTTTTTTTAGATAACCACTAGTTTCAAATTTTTTTATTAATAGCTGTTCATGATAATAAAGGTAAGGTGTAATTTTTCAACAGATATGATTTACAGAAAAGTCAAAAATTTCACATGTTGCAAAAATAAAAAAAAACGGAGATTTTACTAGTGACATTTCTTAGGCTACCAGTTAAGTTTTACATCATGCAAGTCAAAAAGAGAAATTCAAAATAGGAAATAATGAAAGCTCTTACATTAAGCAAGGTAAAAATATATGTATATAAATCTTAATCTAAAAAAGATTTTTTAAAATCATTATTTATAATTACTTAAACTATTTTATTCCATAATCGGTGCTGAACAGCCGACTCAATTTTTTTTTGTTGGGTTTACGACTACTTATGTTAAACTCCGTAACCTTGTAACTTTGAACCCAATCCAGAAGACAAGGGAACTCCTGGATCAAGTATTGAGAGAAATTTATCCTCATGGAGGACTTATTGATAGAACTAACCCGCATTTCTGTAACAGGGAGGAAAACCACGAAAAACTCCCACGGTTAGCCTGACGGCAAGGGGACTTTAACCCATGACCTGCCTACCACTTAGGATATTTTTACTTAAACTATTAACACTCAACATACTGCAGTACTAGCAATAGTAACTATCTGTTGAGGAATAAGAGAAATATTTTTGCCATCAGCAGATATTTTATCACCGAGTTCTTTTAAACAAATTTCTTCAACTAATACGGAGATATTTGAGAATATACGGGTAAACAGAAGATAATCAAAAAACACAGTTGTTAAAAAACAGGAGACTTGGCAGGTATGTTTTTTTAGACAGTGCAACTTATCTATGACTGTTTCTACATTAATATGATTGAAACTTGGATATTGGAAATATTAGAATAAATCGATCATAATATCACTAATAAAAATAGAAGTTCAATATAAGCCTCATTACAATGAGAAGTTCCTTAAACTTTTCAAGTGAAGTCACTCTTAGAAGATTTGTTTTACTATTCCCAGCTATACAATATATTTTATGCATCTATGAGTAAGACCTTCCTGCTATCAGGGGTCTGTTTAGGTTTTTCTGAGAGGTACCTATTTTGTAAAACAATTTAGACATAATTTGTGAAAAATTAAAAATTATATTAAAAAATCAACACAAAAATATGGATTTAGCGTTTTTTACGGGATACAAATATAAAATTTTAAGAAAAAGTATTTTGTGAAACTACCGTTTTTCCTAAAGTTGAATTTGTGAAGGTACCGCTGAACAGTAGTAAATTTGGCCTGGACAACCCCTTTGACTTCAAATCCAAGTTCATCAGTGTAAAGACAAAGTTAAACATCTACAAAACTTTGATCAGGCCTATAGTTATGTATGGAAGTGAGTGCTGGACCCTAAACAAAACATGAGGAGGAAAAACTGCTAATTTTTGAAAGAAAAATTTTGAGGAAAATCTTTGGATCTCTTCAAGAGAATAACGTAAGGAGAATTCTTCACAACCACGAAATTTACAAAAAATATGACAAATTCGGTGGGACCGACGTTGTGAGAACTATTAAAGCATCACACATTAGGTGGCTGGGCCACCTCTTCAGAAATTCTGATGCCGTCCCTGCCAAAAAAGTGACTTTTTCTACCATTGAAGGGACGAGACATAGGGGACGACCACCTATAAGATGGATAGACGCCGCTGAAAAGGACCTCAAGCTATTGGGAATCAACCGATGGTGGGCCGTCGCACCGGACAGGGCCAGATGGAGGAAAATCTGCGAGTCAGCCTCGGCCTGTGAAAGGCTGTTGCGCTTATGAAGAAGAAGACCCCTGACTATTCACAAGAATATATTACGAAAAAATATTCCATTGTTTTATTTTTCTAATAAAACACAAGAGCTTTAGAATGAGCAATGATATCACAGACTGCATATTATTCCAGGATGATCAACAATCAGAAAATTATTGAATTTCATACTATTGAGTTTGATTTAATTGATTCATTTAATTTCCTACGCAATTTTCAGAATAATCATTTTTGTAATTTATGGTCTTTTAAAAAATGAGCATTTATTATGATACAGTAAAACACATTATTTTAAGTTCTCAGGAATCTGTCTAGGCTTTTTTAAGAAGTATCTATTTATTGAAAATTTGAAACATAATTTGCGAAAATTAAAAATTATATTCAAAAATCAACACAAAAAAATAATTAAGTAAGAAAATATTTTTAAAATTTGTCACTGCAAATAAAAATCATTTATGACATGTAAATTTCTATATATTTCCCCCCTTGTATTCAAAAACTATAAAATTTTGACTCTAATTTTAAACTGTAAAATTTTAGGCTAAAAATTTTATCCAAATTTTAAAATTCATAAAAATTATCGTCCATAGTTAAATTTCAACTTGAATTTAATAAAAACAGACATTTAACAGTACCAGCACAAAAGTTATCCTCATAGGGAGATTATTTTCGACTGAGTCATACAGAAAAAAGTTTTACAGTGGAAAAAAAAATGTTTCATAAAAAAATAAAGGTTTATTAGAATAAATTTACAACAAAGTTTAAGAAAATGTTCGAATATCGACTTCCTGTAAAGTTTATTGAGGGAGAGTCCCGTTGTTTCATTTTTTAAACTCAGCGGGAAAAGAAAAACTTGCTTTGATATGGCTAAGTTTACCACATTGCATTATGAGCAAACATGTGCTATCTTTTTGTAAAAGACAGCTGGCAGAAAAGCTCCTCTTTTTCATAGATAGCAACGAGAATGGGGTTTGCAAGAGAACTTGCTCTTTTAAAATATTTTGTGAAACTACCATTTTTCCTAAAGTTGAATTTGTGAAGGCACCGCTAAATGGCAGTAAATTTATCCTGGACAGACCCCTGGCTCTGTCTGTCAATTTTAAAGCTTACGAAGGGTTTATATTTTCTTGAAAAATTCTGTTTCCTATAAAAATTTACATGGAAATAAATAAAGTTAATAAAGTTTTAACATTATTGTTAATTTAATGGGTTAGATTAAAATGCAACAAGGCTCATACTTTGGTTCTGCAAAAAAATCCCCCGATTATAAAGAGCAATAATTCTAAAAAATAATGCATGCAACAATCAAATAAGTACATCAGTTAAGAAAACATGAGAAAAATAATAATTGGTTTAATATCTCCCTGAGGTATATGAAAACCTGTTTGAGCATATAAATACAGAAAAATACATCAACATCAGATAATTATAAAAAAATATTTGCTTTATTTAAATTCTAAACATACCTGCAATTGCCACTATGTCCTTTTCCAAAGATACAATGCATTCTATTGAATTGAGTAGCAATTTGTCCTGAAAAAGCAATTTATTGATTTAGGGAGAAATTAGGATTTAGGTTGATTGACACATTTATATTTTATACCCGTTGTTGAACAGCCGACCCAATTTTGGGTTTACGACAATTAACAGGGTTGCCACACAAATCTGGAAAAAAAATTCATTGCGTTTTCCCTATATATATTATACACAATATATTAGAAGGAAACACACAATCACTGTGCAAATGTCTGAGCTATTATTAGGATAACTAATACTAGTTTTAATTGCTATAAAAATTTAGAGAAATAAGGAGCAGTTCAACATACATAAGAGAATAATACAGCCAATGAAATAGTATAGTATAGCTGAACTATATTTAAATATCCTATAGATTGTACTTTGAGAGATCAACATTTTGTAAAAGAAGAAAATAAGAAATAAATATTCCTGGTATTTTTTCAGTTTATAAGAAAATAGTAAAAATTCCCTGAATTTTCCCTGTTATTTTAGTTGATTTTTTAATTCCATGTATTTTCCAGGTTTTCCCTGTTCCCCCGGTGGAGTGGCAACCCTGACTAAGGTTCAACTCCGTAGCCTTGTAATTTTGAACCAATCCAGAAGACAAGGAAACTTCTGGATCAGTACGCCCAGAGGCATCGAATTGTTATGGGAACACGGAGGACTTTGCGACTTGACAGATTTAACGTGCAGTCACCATTTACTACATGGGGAGTCTTCCGCTGGCCTGGGATCGAACCCACGAACTCTTGGACGTGGGTTCAGTGCCCTACCAACTAGGCTCGATTAACACATTTAGAGGGAAAAAACTTAACCAGTAACTGGGATAGCCTAGTTGGTAGGGGTTGTGAATTCGATCTTTGCCAGGCCATTACTCCCCCTGTAGTAAATGGTGATTGGTGCATGTTAAAACTATCGGGTCCGAAAGTCATCCGTGTTCCTATAACAAATCATACCTCTTGGGGTCCTGAATTGGAGATTAACAGAGATGCCAACTTGCTCCGGACAGCAAATATATATTTTGAAGTGGTAGTTTATCAATTGTGATTCGAGATTTAATAAATTCAATTTAGTAGAGTTTTATCCACCACTATTTCTGAATAATTTGTAGGCTTATATAATTCACCCCTTTATAATACTTAAGTCATGGGGACCTTTTAAAAAGCAAGCAAAAGTAGTCAAATATTTGCAAAATTTACTTTGCAGTTATTTACCGTTTTTATAATTATTTTGGCGTGTCCGGAGCAGTTGGCATCTCTGGATTAATCACTCTCTGGTTCAGGTCAAAACTATGATCTGTGGATGAATGAATGGGTCTGCCCTAAAAACGGACTGTGAGGTGTGTGTGGTTGAAGTCCTATTCTTGGACATAGATGGCCCTACTGGAAACAAGAAACACACCCTCTGCCTTAAATTTGTTTTGTTTTACCAAGCAGGCTTGCTGGTTTTGGCAAGTGGCATTAGAAATAACAGCACTAAACTTAACCATATTTCAGAATTGAAAAAAAAAAAAAAAATTAGATATTTTGGATAACAATTTATATTTAAATTTATTAATTATGCAAAAATACTATACTAAAAACAAAATTTTCGCAGTTATATGTACTTAAATACAAAAAGGTGAGAAAGGGAAAAATTGTTACACAGATTTTTTATTAATTAATTAGTTCAAATTCATTATCTGAAGACTAAAATATGGACATCCTGTTTGTGGTTAAAGAAAATTTTCATGTGAATTTCTAAAATTTTATTTTTAAGCAATTGAATTCAAAACAGTGGAAACTTTTGAAAACACATATTGTGAAGAAAAAAAATTCTTTTGAAAATTTCAAGTGCTACTCTAATATTTTTACAATTATAAAACTAAAATAAATAATCTATGAATCAGGTTGATATTAAAAAAAAATGTTTTCAAACAGGCACCAATATATTTTACACACAAAATACTAAACAGTAACATAAAATTATCTTCACTAGATAACTAAAAAAATTACATTTTACTAATTAAAGTAATAATAATCCATCTGACCATTAAATACATTTTTTTTAAATATTTAATTGTTAAATTTATGTTAGTTAGTATTATTCAAGTTTGCATATGAAGTCAACTATCAAGAGTCAAAATAATCAACTTCAGCAACAACAAAAAAACAGTATTAAAAAACTCAAATGATAATCAACAGTCAAAATGCAGGGGTCTGTCTAGAGATTTTGTGAAAGGTCCTGTTTTTGTAAAATTGTGAATCACATTTTTAATAATTTCAATTGACGTATTTTAAATAACACAACTTAGTTATGTATCACTTTTAATGTGTTACGCATTAAGTAAACTGAAAAATTCTTAAATTTATAATATTTTATTTAAAAAATTGCCAGAAATTAATTTTCATTTACATTATATTCTATTAATTAATTTTATGAATAAATATAAATTGATCAATTATTTATTCACAAACAAAAAATATATGATTCAATATTAATAAGAATGCGCACACGACGTTTGTAAAAATAGAAATATTTTCTTAGAATACCACATTTGGAATTTAAACCGAGGAAAACTTAGTTTGTCTCGAACCATCCCCCCCCAAGCGAAGGGTTTACTCAATTAACAAAACAATAATTAAGATAAACAAATTTGCGAAGGGTCCGATTAAAAGACAAATTATTTTGTGAAGCTTCTATTTTCAGCAAAAGATATTTCGTTAACAGACCTAAATTTCTTCTAAGCAGACATAGTTTCACTTATGATTGATTCACTTTATTCACTGCTAAAGTGAATAACACAATGATTCATTTTAGTAAAAAACTGTAATAATACAAATCAAATATTGATCAGCAATTTACTAATATAGACAGTTTATTAATTAAAAATTTGATTAGATACACAAATTTAATTACTCAACTTCTTACCTTCTTAGTTTTCACCGATTTATTATTATTCACTAATTCTTCTACTTTTTCAAATAAAAATTGCACCTTCGATCTGTATTTAGTATCTGCAAATCGATGCCTTGTTTTTTGAGTTTCTAAATCTTGCTTCCATCCTCTCTTCTTCTTTTCTACCTTAGACAATCGTCCCATTTCTCCACCTTTTCAATAGAATAAGAAGCATAAGTATGTGCAGGGTATTCTGCTACATTTTGGATTTTCAAATCCACCATTTTCCATGAATAATTCCAAGAATTTTTCAGGACTTACCGAAGTTACTATTTTCACAGACAAAAACACAACAAATAATTAAAAAAAGCATTATAACAACAATAATTGAAATCAGGGTTTGTTGATTTAAATCAAATGATTTTTTTAAAAAAATTATTGATTTAAATCAACTGATTTTTTATATATATATATATTTATTTAAAAAGTAAAAAAACAGTGCTTTAAATTATTGATACTTTTAGTTTTGACATTATTTTAAATTAATTGTTGTATTAACTAATTTTGGTTAACGAACTTACTTTCTTGGTGTGTGTTAAATTCCAACACATTTGAAATTACATTTTAAAAAATCTTTTGATTCTTGAGATTGAAAGTACACATTAAAGTAAACATTTAATGCTGTGTCGGTTTAGTACACTCTAAACCGCCCAATCGCGTAGAAAATGAGAAAGCTGGAAAACTTGTGTTTCTTTTTAAACAACTTAACAAACTATTAAGCAAATAACAAACTATTGTATTTATGTTATCTTTAATATTGCGTACATTCAGAGCTCATTCTAGGCAAAAAAAAAAGGGCAGGGTGCAAAAGGTTTTAAAAAAAGGGCATTATTATTCTAAAAAGGCAATAATTTCTTTCTATGGGCTTTACACATTCTATTAAAAAACATTGTCAATTTTTTTTTTTTTCTTTACTAAAAGTACCAAAGCAAATTAATTACTAATTTTTATTAATAAAGTAACATATAGATATATATCGAGTTAATGAGCCAATTAGCCTAGTAATTTATTTAAAATAAAATGCATGCATATATTAATAAAATAATAAATGTATGTTTTTAAGTGTGTATAGATAGTTATGATTTAATAATTAAAATGATTAATAATAATTATGATTTAATGATAGTGAAGTAACTGCAAACTTTCAAAGACAAGTGCAACAAGGGGGTGTGATGGCTATTTTTCCTTTCCCATATAAATTTATGTAATGACAGTAATGACAAACTAAATAAAAAGAGTTGCAAATAAAGAAGGGTTGAGGAAAGAAAGGGCAAAAAGGGTATGAAATCTATTACATCAGGGCATTAATTTACTTCAGGGGCAACAGGGTAGATTCTTTTGACTAAAAGGGCAACAGGGTGCTGCGCCCTGTTTACCCTGTCTAGAATGAGCTATGCATACATTAATTTCAAATCACAGAATAAAAATGTCTGTTATTAAAATAAATAACCCAGAATTAGAATTGTGCTTATCAATAAGTTTTTTTCTTCTCATAATATGTTTACAGTATCTTTGACATTATCAGATTTTCTATAAAGAAATTTCGTGAAAAAAATTGCAATGAGTAAATAGATTTAACAACAAAAAAAATTTTTTTTAGCTTAACTTATCTATTTTGATATATTATTAAAAACGAATACTTTAATATAAAAATGTACCGATTAAATATTTATTTATTTTTTGATGAATGACTACATTTATAAACGCAATCTGTTGCATTTATTTTGTCATTTTAAAAATAAAGAGAAAAAAAAAGAAATCACAATTTTAAATTAAAATTATGGTTTGCTAACTGAATTTTTGTTTTAATAGTTAAAGAATTCTTTAAATTCTCTATTTAATCTAGTCTTTAAATTTCAATCATGCATTTGCTTCAAAATGGTTGCTATGTGTTCAAAACTATGTATTATAATGGAAAATTGTTTTAGGTAGTTAGTGCTTCTAAAGTATTGTTATAATACAGTTTCAATAGTAATTTAATTTTGATTAAACATGAATAATAAGTTCATTTATAAAGTTTTTTGAATCATAAATCAAAGTTCTTACAGTGTATTTAAATAAAAATAAATCTGATTTTTTAAAAAAAAATCATGAACCCTGATAGAAATGACAGGTATAATCAAAACTGTTATACTCTGCATTTTCATATTTATTGATTTTAAACTTAAAAAAAAAGAGTAAAGAAAGAATTGAAGCAATAAAATAGCTGAAAAAAATACAAAACTAAATGCTGTCAGATATATATGTAGTTATTTTAAGCTGATTATTTCATCTTTAAAGTTAGTGTAATACAAAAAGCCTAAACTAGAATTTTAAACTGATAAAATAAAAAAACTCAGAAATTGCAGAAGTTTTAAAGATAATTCACTCTAGAAATGATGTTCTATATTTCCTTTTTTGAGAGAACACCAAAATTTTTAAAGAACAAGATAAAAACATTTAAATTTTAACAGAATATGAATGTGAGTGGGGATTTAGCAACAAATTTAGATATTCAGAACATTATGATATTGGGAGTGTAGGGGGTAAATTCCATTTTAAAAATTAGATTTTTCCGCGACCTAAACCAGTGACTTTCCATTATTTTTTTTTAAAAATAGTTACAAATCAAGACAAATTTTGTTCAATACCAAAATCCATGACTTTCTAGGAATGCAGATACCCTGAATAATAGATTCATTAATAAACAAAGAAACGCAAGCTATTAGAACATGAGCAAGAAATTAAAAATTTCAAAATCGCGATTAATTTTCCTTCAATGTGTGAACATAAAATATGAAACATAAAAGTAATTTAATTTATCACGAATTTATGCTACATCAATTTATAAAATTATAGAGTTTATTATTCATAGTTCAGACTTTTAAACAATTCAATTAATGGAACAAAATAAAAGAAATTGACTGAATTAAAGAAAAAGAAATTAGCAAATCTAAAAAAAAGTATAACCAAAAGAACATTACTGAATAATAAAAGTTAGTGAATGTTTAAAGATGAAGTTCAATGATTATCTAAAAATATTTTTCAATTTGAAAAGCACAAATGCAGAGAATAGAATAAAAATAATACTTTAAGAATTTTAAGAATTGCCGCAATGATGAAACAGTTTCTTTTTGCTAGTATATATGCGCTTATGACTCGCTTGTTAAAACGGGGTTGCCATACTTTGAAAACTTTATTTGGAAAAATACTACAAAGTACTTCATATTTCAAAGCGTTATACTTCATATTTCAAAGCGCTGTAATTTGGAAGTCTAAATAATATTAAAAAGAAAAAATACTATTAAATGGATAATAATGCTATTAAAAGGATATATTACTAAGAACAAAATAATTTTAAAATGGATAAAACAATTATCTTTTCCCCCCTGTGCACTTATACTTCAGGTAAACGCGTAGTAACAAAGATTTAAATCAGTAGCTTTGTCTAATAAGACCTGTGTGTATTGGCGATCGCAACACTGGAATACGTCATCTGGGGAGAGACCGGTTTCATGCCTTTAGCCCTTCTCCCTTCCCTCTCCTCCTCCTTTCAGTTGTTTAGGAATGTACTACGATATTTTCTCTTTTCTTAATATTTTTCCTTTTTATTTAATAAAATATTTTTTAAAATTTCCGCGATACTTTTCTTTAGAACTATGTTTAATGTAGTTTTCAGTTCCATACAGTTTTTCATCTTAAAAGATTTTAATCTAAATGAAATTCAAGAGAGAAACTAACGTACTTGCTTCCTCTATGACTTTCCACACGCTAATGGGGAAAGCATGTAAAGTGTTGCCATGGGTAGACAGTTCTGCTCTACGCCACCTGCAGGCCATTTCGATCGCCGTGAATGATGCTATCAGTGATGGGCATCATTCACGGAAATTTCATTCATGACTAAATTTATTCAGAGTAAATTTATTCTGAATGATTATTCATAAGCAAATTTAGTCATTATTCATCATTCATTATGCAAATTTTTGAATAATGATTGATGAATAAATTCATTAGTCATGACTAATTTTTCTGAATAAAATTTTGAATAACCAGCGAAAAATGCAAGCAGGGAGTCATTTTAATTGCAAGTTGCGCGTCAATTACAATTATCGATTAAAAATGTAATTCGAATTACATTTTTAATCGATAATTGTAATTGATCATTATAGATAAATTAACTACTTACAATGATCATGATTACAAGTAATCACAGTAACAAATAATAATTATTTCTCATTACAAGCAGTTATGATTATTTATAATCACAACAAAAAGTGATTACAGATTATCAGGAATATAGAATTAGAAATAATAAAGCCCTGGGATTGAGAGCCACTATTTGTAATCATAATATAAAATTACAAGAAATCATAACTACAAGTTATCATAATCTAACAATTACAGGTAATCTTAAATTCAAGTAATTGTGATATATATGATTAGAACACGAGTAGATGTAAACATAATTTCAATTGAGCTTGTTTATAATGTAATAGGGATTATAGGAAATAGAATACTCTTAAAACAATACATAAATTGTATAGGTAAATGCATTGATTAGTTTATTAAATAAAAACTTTTAAACCTGGAATTACATACAAAAGTGCACGATAAATGAGTACAAAAACACACGAATAAGACTAAATTGTGATTACTTGTAATAAAAATAGGAAACGATTACGAGTGAATTTGATTGAGCAATCAAAATAAATGATTGCATGCAATCATAATTGCATGCAATCGTCTGTACGTAGAATGAACGCACGCATATAAATGGAAAATGGCGAATAATGGGCGAATAAAAAAAAAGAATAAAAAAATAAAATGGCTCAAGAAAGGTTCCAATTTCAAGACGCCCTAGCTCCCTTTAATATCAAGGTATAATTCTCAAACTCGGACCCTAAGTAGGGGTCTATGGTCCAAACAAGGCTGCCAAAGAAAATTTTTATAGGCCAATTAGGGGGGTCACAGTGGCCCATAAATGTATATTGCGAAGATGAGAGGAGAGAGCTTTTGAAGCGAAACTGTAGTTGGCTTCACGTATCACCGTGGACTGGAAGGAAGGCCACCCGACAAGCAAGTTCGCTGCTGGAGGGAGGGGTCTTGGGTTCGAATCCCAGGGACGCACAATTTTTCTAAAAATATTGTTTTTTTGTTTATTTTAAATTATATTATTTTTTATGTGTTTTTCGATATTCTGGAGGGTCCAGCATGTAGGAAATTCTTTTTTGGGGGGAAATGGAAAAAAACAGGAGAAATCCAGGAAATTCACTTCATTTCCTCTTTTTCGACTTCTTTTGTAACATTTTGGATATTCTAGCATGCATGAGGTGTTTTCTGTGTGTGAAATCCAGCAAAGAAAGCGTAATTGAACAATAAAAAAAAGAATACAAAAATAAAATATCCCGAGAAAGGTTCAAATTTCAAGACCCCCTAGCTCCCTTTAATATAAAGCTATAATTTTTTAACTCGGACCCTAAGTAGGGGACTATGGTCCAAACGAGGCTGATAAAGATAATTTTTATAGGCCAATTAGGGGGGTCACAGTGGGCCCCTAAAGGTATATTGCAAAGATGAGCGGAGAGAACTTTTGAAGCGAAACTGTGGTAGGCTTCACGTATCACCGTGGACTGGAAGGTCCAGAATATCGAATAAACAAAAAAGAAAATTTTTTGAAAATTTGACTGTCCTTGGGACTCGAACCCAGGACCCCGCCCTCCTGCAGCGAACATGCTTGTCTGGTGGCCTACCTTCCAGTCCACGGTGATACGCGAAGCCTACCACAGTTTCGCTTCAAAAGCTCTCTCCTCTCATCTTCGCAATATACCTTTGGGGCCCACTGTGACCCCCCTAATTGGCCTATAAAAATTATCTTCAGCAGCCTTGTTTCGACCATAGACCCCTTCTTAGGGTCCGAGTTTGAAAATTATACCTTGATATTAAAGGGAGCTAGGGGTTCTTGAAATTTGAACCTTTCTCGAGCCATTTTATTTTTTTATTCTTTTTTTTATTATTCCATTACGCTTTCTTTGCTGGACTTCACACACAGAAAACACCCCATACATGCTAGAATATCTAAAATGTTACATCAGAAGTCGAAAAAGAGCAAATGAACTGATTTTCCTGGATTTTTCCAGTTTTTTCCCTTTTTCCCAATAAAAAAACATTTTTTTCCTGCAAGAAGGAACCTCCACAATATCGAAAAACAGATTAAAAAAATAATATAATTTAAAATAAACAAAAAAAAAGAAAATTTTTTGAAAGTTTGACCGTCCCCGGGATTTGAACCCAGGACCCCTCCCTCTTGCAGCGAACTTGTTTGTCTGGTGGCCTACCATCCAGTCCACGGTCATACACGAAGCCTACCACAGTTTCGTTTCAAAAGCTCTCTTCTCTCATCCTCGCAATATACCTTTAATAGCCCACTGTGACCCCCCTAATTGGCCTATAAAAATTATCTTCAGCAGCCTTGTTTGGACCATAGACCCCTAATTAGGGTCCAAGTTTGAAAATTATACCTTGATATTAAAGGGCGCTAGGGGGTCTGGAAATTTGAATCTTTCTCGAGCCATTTTATTTTTTTATTCTTTTTTTTTATTATTCCATTACGCTTTCTTTGCTGGACTTCACACACAGAAAACACCCCATGCATGCTAGAATATCCAAAATGTTACAATAGAAGTCGAAAAAGAGCAAATAAACTGATTTTCCTGGATTTTTCCAGTTTTTTCCCATTTTCCCAATAAAAATTTTTTTTTCCTACATGCAGGAACCTCCAGAATATCGAAAAACACATAAAAAAATAATATAATTTTAAATGAAAAAAAAAAAAGAAAATTTTTTGAAAATTTGACCGTCCCTGGGATTCGAACCCAGGACCCCTCCCTCCGGCAGCGAACTTGCTTGTCCGGTGGCCTACTTTCCAGTCCACGGTGATACGTGAAGCCTACCACAGTTTCGCTTCAAAAGCTCTCTCCTCTCATCTTCGCAATATACCTTTAGGGGCCCACTGTGACCCCCCTAATTGGCCTATAAAAATTATCTTCAGCAGCCTTGTTTCGACCATAGACCCCTTCTTAGGGTCCGAGTTTGAAAATTATACCTTGATATTAAAGGGAGCTAGGGGTTCTTGAAATTTGAACCTTTCTCGAGCCATTTTATTTTTTTATTCTTTTTTTAATTATTCCATTACGCTTTCTTTGCTGGACTTCACACACAGAAAACAGCCCATGCATGCTAGAATATCCAAATTGTTACAATAGTAATGTAGAGAAAACAAATAAACTGATTTTCCTGGATTTTTCCAGGTTTTTCCAACTTTCCCAATAAAAAATTTTTTTTTCCTGCATGCAGGAACCTCCAGAATATCGAAAATCACTTAAAAAAATAATATAATTTAAAATAAACAAAACAAAAAAAAAGAAAATTTTTTGAAAATTTGACCGTCCCTGGGATTTGAACTCAGGACCCCTCCTTCCTGCAGCGAACTTGCTTGTCTGGTGGCCTACCGTCCTGGCCACGGCGATACGTGAAGCCTATCACAGTTTCGCTTTAAAAGCTCTCTCTTCTCATCTTCGCAATGTACCTTTAGGGCCCCACTGTGACCCCCCTGACTGGCCTATAAAAATTATCTTCAGCAGTCTTGCTTGGACCATAGACCCCTATTTAATGTTCGAATTTGAAAATTATACCTTGATATTAATGGGACCTAGGGGGTCTTGAAATTTAAACCAATCTCGAGCCATTTCATTTTTTTATTCTTTTTTTTTATTAATCCATTACGCTTTCTTTGCTGGACTTAACACACAGAAAATTCCCCATGCTTGCCAGAATATCTAAAATGTTACAATAGAAGTCGAAAAAGAGCAAATAAACTGATTCTCCCGGATTTCTAAAGTTTTTTCCCATTTTCCAATAAAAAAATTTTTTTCCAACATGCAGGTACCTCCAGAAAATCGAAAAACACATAAAAAAAATAATATAATTTAAATTAAACCAAAAAAAAAGAAAAGAAATTTTTTTGAAAATTTGACCGTCCCAGGGATTCGAACCCAGGACCCCTCCCTCCAGCAGCGAACTTGCTT